CAGGAAGTTCCCTCCCTGCCACTCTCTCATATAGGCTGTCTAAGAACTTATTGTGCTAAACCTATTACATGCTACTTGAAAAAATAGAAGAGTTAGTGTCCCTTATAGTAACTAACTTTACTTCCAGTAGGTCTTTGTGTGTTAAATTAAACTTTGTTTTGGGCTTGAAGTAACCCACATCGGTTTCCTATTTGAAACAAACAGAAGAAGGCACCATTCAGTACATATTTAGCAAACTTTTTCTGAAGAGACTCTTGCATTCTCTTTCTATAACACTTTTGCAGTTGCAGGGCTTCTTGGCTTACCATGGCGTTATTATTGTTGCTTTAGTACTGGTTCTCATGCTGGAGCTGGTGTGGCTGATGCTAAGGGTCACTGTGCTCAGCTGTGTAGGTTTGTCGTGAGTTCGGGGATGTAGCTCAGGGTTGTTTAGACTGCAGATAAGCAGAGGTGTCCCAGGGGTTGTTTTGGGGGGCTTCTGCTGTGAACTTTCCTTCTTTTTGCGGGTACCAAGAAAGAACTATGGAAAGTTGTGATAAATTTTAGTGGTTTTAAGTGGCAGTTAATCGTGTCCATGCTCAAGCAGTTTACAATTGGTGACGACTTGAGCTGGTACTGCACTGATGGGTTAGCCAAAATGAGATGAAACCCATCTCTTCACGTTAAGGAACTGTGTGCAGGCAGGACCCTAGGAAGGACACTCTCAAGTGGTAACCTGAGTTAACATTTGTCTGAAAAACCAGTGCAGACATCACAGTTCCAGTCCACACTTCACTGCATGGCATAGCTTATAAAATGACTTAGCAGTTACTTAAATCTGCCAGTCTGACAAAACTACCAAGATTTCATAATTTTGAAACCACGCTATACAGTCTGAGTCTTAAGTTTCCTGTGGCCCACCACAGGAATCACTGGGCCCTTGTGCCTTCTTGATCATGTAGAGATCTTGTTTTGGGGAGGTGGCCTCTAGGTAAAATGGTTGGAGTAGGCCATGGCTGGCACCAGCAATTAGCATGATTGCACCCCGACTATGAGGCTTAACTATATGGTGTATATTTTGATTGTCCATGTGGGCTGAAGCTCCTTTGGGGCAAAATCCAGCTGTGCTAAAATAGACCGGTCAGTCTATCAAGTGTTGAACTCATGCTAATGTTTTCCTGTGAGTATTAAGCTCGCAGAAGTTTGCTTTTTGTGTAACAGTAAATGGGTTTTTTTGAGTCTCTAGCAAATTGGTTCTTATGTTTTGAATCTTCATGCTAAAATATTAAACTGAGGAAGTGTGGTGTTTGTAAAGTTGTGAAAACTAATCCCTCTGAAAGACCCTTGGGAAGTCATACTACTTTATCTTTAAAAAAAAAAAAAAGTTTGTCCTTTATTTTTTGCAGTATGTGACATTGTATGGCTGTTACTAAAATGTTGGTCTTATGAAAGCATCTTGGTCTAGGGACTTGTTTGGTCATGCCCTATCCCCAAGTCAGCGCAAGTCTGGACACTTACCATTCTGTCACACTTCTGGGAACTCTATCCTTTTCTGGAGCAGTAAAGAATGGTATGTGTATACCAAATTTTTTTTTTTTTAGACTTTTAGGAATGGCTTAAATTCTCTTCTGAAGTCTTTCCAGACGATCCTGTGTTACAGCTATAACTCAGTATTTGTAAATGTTTGTTTTTAAAACCAGCCATGCCTTTGAAAAGGGCCCTGCCAACATGTTTCTTGTAGCATGTAACAAATCTTGGAATAGATTAAAATTTGTGAAATAAATAGGCTGCTTGAACTAATTTTTCAGAACTAGGTGGTCTCATTCATTTGGGTATTTTTTTCTTTTTCAAAGACAAAAGTTGCAGTGTTTCTCATTGTCATGAATGCATAGATATGCAAAAACTTTTTTTACAGCAGGGCTTACAATATGTTGCCAACTGAACTGATTCAAACCATTAAGGAGGTTTAAAAATATGTTTCTGGAATTGAAACTTGGATATATTAAAAGGCCTTAAATATACTCAAGGCATTTTACATTTTTTTTTTCCACTTGACAGTGTTTAAGATTGAGATTTCTGATATGAACAAGAACTGCCTTGAGAATTAACTTCTACAAATGGTACTGTTTAGATCCTGGGCTTGATTTTCACATTCGAACATGGCCATTGTGTCTCATTCAGTACTAAAAGTAGTAAAACAGGCACTGGTCACATAACTCCCTTTATTCAAAATATGTATCAGTTCACATAAGTAGATAACTTTAAGGTGAGTCTGCAAGGTGTGCTAATTACATATACAATTTAGTGCTTTCCAAAGGTGAGAGAAGAGGGGTAGAAGTGGAGTAGGGCAAGGAAGGAGAGGTGGTGGCAGGAAAGAGCAGGAAGTTATCTCTCCATATTTACTTTCCATGGATTTTATGAGAAGTTGCAGTTTATCGTTGCTGCAGTAAAACTGCTGTTAGGTTTGGTTTTGTTCTCAGTTTTGTTTTCTACTAATTACTGGCAAAAGTTAGCTTTTATGTGAAAAGAAAGAAGCAGGAAATGGCAGTGAATGAGCTCAAGCTGTTTATAACAATGTCTGCTTTATTTAGAGACTATGGTATATATAACGTGGGAGTCTGGAAACCCATGTTCAAACTGAGGCCAGCAGAGCATTCTGATCCGGTGCTGTGGCCACCCTGGTTTCTGCACTCTTGACGTTTGTTTGCAGAATGCAGGGGGTAAGGTGTGTTGGTTTTGTGTTTTTTTTTTTTGTTTTTTTTTTTGCTTGGTTAACCATTCAAGGGAAAAGTCTTTAAGCTACAATCCCTCATTGTCTATTCTTTTTCATCTATGTTTAATGCTAACAGTTGGTAATTAATTTATCATTTAATGTGAATATATTTTTTCCGAGTATTTTTCAGAGTCCTTTTAGAGAGATTCATCAAGTGAAAGCAATTAAATGAAGCAATAGTTTTGTTATAAGAAAGGAGCTAGCGTCTTTGTTTAAGAAAGGAGGAAGCATCTCCAGGCCTTCTGGAATTAGCATACTGTAAGAGAGTCTTTATAAAGTATGTGGAATAGCTTGTCTCCTGAAGCTTAGATGGTTCACTGAGTAGTATGCTGAGCACCATTCTGGCCTCACTTGAGTAACATCATCTATTAGTGGTAGCTGTCCTGTACTTTTTTCAGTAGTGTTACTAGTAGGATTTTTTTCAGTAGTTCTACTGGTGAGATTACCGAATGCTCAAGAAGAGGTCCTCGGGGCAGTACAAGGACAGACAATAGTACACTAAGGTTGTCCCTGACCATTTGGATATTCCAAAAGTGTATTGCTAGTTGTGGGGGGAAAAAAAAAAAAAAATTGTGAAAAAAAATTAAGAGCTCTGTTGGAAGAAGGTGTTGATTCCATGAGTTGCAAGTTCGTAGCATGTACTGTTTTGTTTTCTGTAAATGTCACTCTATTTTCTGCTGTTTCAAGATACTAGTCTGCATGAGCCCAAGCACTGGAAGGAAAATTACGCTTCTGCTGTGAGGTATGTGATAAAAATGCCTACAGTAATCTGATTGTGGACAGTCCTTAGAATACTCTGGGAAGAACTAACTCCTGTCTGTTATTTCACTCACTGGGCTGTTTCTGAAAGGTTATAATTTTGGTCTGTAGTAATCGCACAGTCTTTCAGTGGGTAAAACTGAATCACAGTGTGTACACACACAAATACAGAACTGCACTCTGAAGTGTGTAAACCTGACACACCTGTACCTTAAATACTTGTCTTCTTTTATCTCTTTAAAAGATGTATGCAAAATGTCATCGTGCCATGGTTGTGTCGTTTTAGCAAAGACACAGACAAATGGTGAAAATGCACGGGGTGTCTCTAACAACTTGGTGAAAATAAGGATGTGGTGGGTTTTCTTCCCTGTGCTTTGCCTTTGTTGCTTTCCTTATTAGAGGTAGTAAATACACAATGAGAGATGTGCTTAAGAGAGAAAAAAATTGTATTGAAAAAGGCAAATGGAGCCCAGGCTTCAAACTGACCAGCATTTATCTGTTGGTGGCCAGCTTGGCTGCAGATGGGCTTGTGCTGTTTTTCTCTCCTATCATATCAGAACTGAATTGGGTTGTGAAAGAT